AACCAAGCAACCAAGCAACGAAGCAACCAAGCAACCAAGCAACCAAGCAAGCAAGCAACCAAGCAACCAAGCAGCCAAGTAGCCAAGCAGCCAAGCAGCCAAGCCAGCCAAGCCAGCCAAGCCAAGCCAGCCAGCCAGCAAGCAGCCTACCAAGGCAACCAAGTGCCTCGGGAATGAGAAAGCAACTCCAACATGGCACTGCCTACCCAACAGCATTCCTTCTGCAATTTTACAATTCCAAACCTGAAAGGGAGATCCCCAAGGCACAGAACGATTTGTCACGGTGACCTCGTGTGACCAATTCGGCAACTCGCTCGCCCCGTTGCTCTTAAGGCCCCCCGCTCGGCAAATCTTAGAATCTGCGCGCCTTCTCTGGAGCCAAATCTTCGGACCGTCCACGGGACTCACCCGGCACCAGCCATCGACGGCTCCATGTTTGGACTAGGCTTTCTCAAGAAAAGTTAAACCCCTGGGTATCCGTGTCCTTAACATGTCAGCCCAAAGCAAAAGGTGGTTTTGACCGTGCCACGCATGAGCAGTGCCCATCCGCCGAATGATCCAAGGCTCCAATGTGGGATCTGCGCTGGAGGGCTGACTCTGTGCACAGCTTGTCTCGGGTAGATCAAGCGCAATGCAAACAGGAGCATTTCCCTAGGAACTCTCGCATGTTATCGGAATCATCCCGCAAAGCTCCCAGAAAGCCAGCGTTTTGGAACAAACGATGCACAGTTGCGCATTCTGCGCAACGGCAATTCTCTGATTGCGGGTGCGCAGGACAATATTTCACGCGATAAGATGGTGCTGCCTGTGCCTTCCGTCTCAGGTTGATCCATGCGATCGTCAAAACTCCTCATGTAGGTAATGGCAAGAATCCTTACAACGGTTCTCAAAAAATCACTACAAAGAAGTCCATGACCTCTTTCCTGCCCAACCGAAGTAAAGGTTAAGGAGTGTGACCATGACACGTATTGTGCCAAGCCGGACCGTTCGGCGACAGGCAGGCTTTTGCGGATCCATACAGGCCTCGGGGAGATTGCTGGCTTCAAGACCCAGGTCACTTGGACCCAGCTTTCTATAGCATGCCGCAGCAGAGTCTTCCCTGATACAACTTTGAGCTGTTTCCGCCTTCACCAGAAGGCATCAACCTAGCAACATCCCGCACGAGGCATTTTTACCGGCAGCGACTTGCTCTACTCCCCTGCAGGTTGAGATAGAACCCGGAAAGCCACTGTTTTAGAGGGGGGCTCGTGTCAATTTGCAGGGCAGAAAGCCAAGATTTGCCATCAACTTGGCCATAACTGCGACTCCACACGCCCGGGCCAAATCCCCCAAGTGGGGAGAGCCCAGATAGGTCTTACAGACATGGTCAAGGCGACAAGAACCGGCGAACCAGAGATTGACATGCCTGGGGAACCAGAGCGTCAGCCTCTTAAAAGCGGTTCCGGATTCGTATTGCTCACCCGTGCAGAAAGTCAACCGAACTCACCCGCCAACTCTCTCAAATGGTTTCTACTGACTTGCACCGAGATCCAGAAAAAGACTGGCTATACATCCTGAAAAAACGTGGCTATGGCGGCTGCACATGGGTATGTGTCTAAATCGGGAAGCCCTAAAGTGGTGGTTGTCCTGTTGGCTTCCCTCTAAACCCAACCCGTCAACAAAGCACACAGATCAAACATCTCCCGTGGTTCGGTGCAATCCCACATTTGTGAGCGGCCCCCCAAACAGGGGACCCAAAAATGGCACCAAGCAAAAAAATGTACTAGCCCCAAACTGGCTTGATACGTCGCTTTTAGCCTCCATGGGGATTGGGGGGGGTGCCTTCTTGCGGAGCCCATAGGATTTAGGGTGGAAACTATCCGTACCCGGAGCCAGACTTGGAGCAACTTGGCTATTTCTGGGCCTGCTAGGCCGCACCGGTTTCTGGGCCTGCTAGGCAGCGCCGAAAGCCGCGAGGAGTCTGACATAGTGCAAGACCGCAAGAGAGATTGGAGGAGCAACACACTATGTCAGAAAGAAGAAAAAAACAAAAACATCGACTATGTTATTGGACATGGTTTGTCTTGCGAACCAACCGTGAAAAGGGTACCCACAAAACAACGGGTCCCTGTGAACATCGGAGGGAAACAACAAACGCCCCCCGATGGGTCGAACTCTTTAACATCGCCCCATCCATCTCGTCCATTCGCAATCTGCACAGAGACCTCATCTGAAACCCTGAAAAACAATCAGCACGCTTCCTTGGGAAGGCGTGCAGCAGATTGCAGTGGATTTATTGGCAGCCTTGCCTCTTGGGCATCGCACGTGCAGTGAAGGCCGATTCCCAATTGCTGAAGGCTGGGTTGGCCAACCCAAACATGATTAAATACCTGTTTAAGTCTCATCCTTGTTTCCTGTCAGCGCCAGAAACGAAATGGGCGTCTGTTTTTGTTTTCCACTTTCTTCGGGCCGCCAACCCTGGAAGGCGCATGCCTGCCGGCACTAGGCAGGAGGCACGGAAAGGTAACAGCAGGACGGAGCGAGTTGGCCCTAAAGGCCGCGGCGGAATTGCCGAACAGAGCCAACCAGCCCGCCTGCTGGCGAGTCCCAGCAAGCTACGTCCGGAACGGAAAAATGCAGCAGGCAGAGGAAATTACACATATTTGATAAGCTTGCAAGTCGCCATCTCAGAGGGGAGGCCTTGGACAGGGAAAGCGATGGGAGCAACCAAGCCAGCTGATTCATGATCCTGACACCGCCACCCAACTGGAAACTCATCACATTTCACATTCAGAAATTTATGATCGAGTAAACATGGTGACAGACCTTCCGCTTCTGTTTCGGGTTCTCTTCTGTTTCCTTTTCTCATTCTCGCCTCTTTCTTGGTCTATCTCTCTGGCTATCTCTATCCATCTGTCTTTCTTGTCTATCTGTCCGTCTATGTGTCTGTCTCTCTATCTCGCTATCTGTCAATCTACAGTGTTAATCTATGTATCCATCCGCCTGTCCGCTGTCTAATCCTGCTAAGCTATCGTTGTATCTATCTACCGGTCTATCTGTCTCAATAGCCATCTAACCTTTGTAACCTCACTTTCTATCTATCCAATCTCACATTGTGTCAACCTATCTCTCGGTCTCATGTTATCTAGTCTGTCTAAAAGTCACTATCTAGCTATCTATGTATGTGTCCATGTGTGTGTGTGTGTCTGTCTGTCTGCCTGCCTGTCTGCCTATCTATCTTTTTCAAGCGCTGCGCCTGCCAGGAAGGTGGTTCTGTCCGTCTGTCAAGATCTTTTTGTCAGTCGTGTAACTCAAATTGCGTGTAATCCTACCCTCGCTTTCTATCTAACCGCCCTCTCTATCCATCTGTCTCTCTGTCTTTCTGTCTGTCTGTTCATCAATATTTCTATCTAAGTAAATCTACCCAACTCAACCAAATCGAATCTGTTCTGCTAGCTGTCCTATGTATCCATCTGTCTATCTATAATCACTTCTTCCCATTAATCAACTTACTCCTAATAATAAAACTCCCCCGAGCCGCGGCAAAAAATCGGCAATACTAAATTTAAATTGTCCAACACTAAGTAAACTCCTGAGACAACACATGCTTTCCACCAAGCTCCCAAAATATTCTTATTTAGGGCCCCCCCTCCAGAGTGTGTTTTCGAGCCCGAGCTCCGGGAGCACGATTCCTTTACTTGGCTTATTCCTACTTAAAAGTTGCAATCTGAGCAGTTTTTGCTCCAAATCAACTGAATCTAGGCCCAAGGCAAGTCCAAGGCAAGTCCAATACTAAACAGCAAACTATCAACTGAATCTAGGCCCAAGCCGGCGACCCCTAATAATAAAACTCCCCCCCAAGTTTTCTATTTGGGAGGGGGGGGGGGCGTTTTCTTTATTCGGGAGAAGCGATTATTCGGGCGGGGGGGGGGGGGGTTGGATGGCTAAAGCTCTGCGCCTGCCAGGACATCCGTGCCTGACCTTGCGAAAGCGCCGCATCTGTCAGGATATCTGTACTCGACCTTCGCGCTTGCCACGAAATTGCACCTGACCTTGCGAAAGTGCTGCGCTTTGCACTTGCCTTGCAAAAGTGATATTATGTGCGCGCCTATGTGCCTGCCACGAAATCTGCAGCGCGCCTATTTGCATGTCCGCGCTCAAACGGGGTTCGCGGCGTGTCCCTGCCAGCGTTGCCAAGATGCCGCGCGTGTCACGCAATCTGTCACGCAATCGGATCGCTTCAACAAAGCTCAGCGCCTGCCACGCAATATGCGCCTCAGTTTGCGCGTCCGTGTCAGGGCCCGCACCTGTTCAGAGCCTTCTCCGACAAAATCGTCCGTCAGGCGTCGTGAACAAGGTAGCTTTCAGCCCGCCGGAGATGCCGAACGCGTCAAGGGTCACTCTTTTTCGCGATCTCTATTCCCCTGCCACACGCCCATGCGTGCTTTCTCCCATTCAGTCATTACTTATTTCTGTTATTTGTGCGCAAGACTACCTTCAATTTTGTGGCCGTAGCAAGGAAGTTCCTTCTAAGCTATAGACACTCTCTGGAATTAAATTGGAAGTCCATGCGCTGCGAGGTCCTCCAACAGGGAAGCTCTTAGGACCAAAATTATTGGGGGGAAATCGCTGTCACCTCCTTTTACGGAGACTTTAAGCCTCGCTCCTAACATAGAAGCTTTGTAACTTGCCCCTCGCCACTACAATCCTGGGGGAACCCAAGGTTTTGCAGGGAACATGTTTTGAGCCTGCACTTCCATGTACAGGACAACATGTGAGTGCGTGAACACGTGCGGATTGAATTTGTCCTAACCATCCTTGAAGCACCCAATGTAGTCGAAATTCGCTGGATAGATTTGACTAACAAAGGTTCAAACAAAACATCAAGCTTTGGGGCTTCTAGTTTGAATCGGAACGTATAGAACTCTAAAAAGCAACCCATGCTGGATTTGGGAATAAGGTAAACAGATTACTAGTCCAAGTCAAGCTCACCCCCCACATGCTACCGGTCGTACGACGTCCCTTGGTGGGGAGTGGATGGGTTTTGGGGGGTTTGGGGTGTGTGTTCAGGCGGGACTTCTATGTTAAAGAAAAATCCAAATGGACTTTCTGACTAACGAGCAACAACAAAACAACCTTTGGAGCTTCTAGTTGAATTCCAGAGAGTGTATATATGTTTGTGTTTGCTTTTTCATCTATTGGCTTGAGACTGGGAGTTCCAAGCTATGCGGTATGCAATTCGCTTGATCAGACGCTTGCAACGGTTGACTGAAATCCCTACCGGGTCATAACCACCTAACCCCAACTAAGCAGCTCTTTTGACAACGGCGCATATGGGGACTAATACATGGCTTCTCTTTGATTTCCCTTTGAGCCAATCCGATCCCGCAAAGTGTACAAAAGACGCA